TCCCGCCCACAATTTTAACGTAAGTGGTCCAATTTTTCATCGACAGGTCAAATATCTTACTCCGCGGCCAAACATCGATTTTTTTTATGACCGCTCAGTACAACATTAGGAATGGGTATAAAAAAGGATGTATTCACTATTACAAAAGAATTGACCTATAGGAGAGAACAATTTCCCGGAAAAAGTGACATTTAAAAATCAATCTTTATTTGTTGCTTTCTACCGTATATATGTCTAAATTTTTCAAATTTGAGTTTTACAACTAAAATTTATTATCTACAACTTCACAATAAACCCCCAAAGTTGGCCGAAACACCATTTTGTCCGTTAAAGCGTTGATTTTTGCATAAATTTTGGCCTAGAAGTCCTTCAGGGCAGGCCTGCCCCTAAATAAAATTGTGATATTTTGATAGGTTAGGATGTAAGGAATAATTTAAGATAGGATTTTTTTAGGGGCACCCCTGCCCTAGGGTCGAAATTCACAAAAAACCTACAAAAAAACAAGTAAACTTGATTTTGACAATCTGCTTCAAATTTATACCGTTCAATATTGTAGTCAGATTAGCTCATTTGATATATGCGCTGCGCTGACTTTTATATCGTGGGTACTTTATTTTTAAAGTCGGGGGGTCGAATCCACCTGTTGCCACACTTTTATAGTTTTAAATTTTTGCCTTTTCAAAGACTATTTTAATTTTTTTATAGGCTTGTGTATGTTTCTTCAATTATCTATCCTTTATGCATTCCCATTTTTGATATAAGAAACACTAAAGAGAGATCAGATCGTAACAATCCAATATACACTTGTCAGTCAGGCGGAACAAGTCTCAGTATAGCACACTTTCTCCGAAGACAAGAATAACGCACTCTGTGTTACTCGATACAGGTATTCTCGACAGCATTGAGCTGCGATGAATTTCAATTGTATATATTCCTTAGAATTTAATCACATTGCTTTTATTCTGTCTGTGCTACTAGTGCTTGTCTGGGTTACATGTAGTACATGAATGTTACGTATTGCTTGAATTATTTGAGCTTAATATATTTAGAATAACATACATGTACTTTTGTTTTTAGTCAATATTTTAAGATCTTAAGTTTTGAAACAGTAGGGTTACATATATCAGAAACTGTACTCCCTTGGATTTCATTTAGGCCCATATGATTTGCACACATTAATTGCATGTTTTTATTATATCCATCTGAAATGTGTTTTAAAATAAATAGCCTAGACATAAAGTTCCAGAGACAGTAGACATTACCATTATGTACAATGAGAAGTAAAGAAAAAAATTAATTATTACATTTGGAGATAACAAACTCAGAATATCAATGAAAGTGTTCCTCCTACCTCTACTCACTGAAATAAAGATTTATGAAAAACAAATTGTTACATGTATTCAGCCTAATGTCATTAATCGGAACGGAAATCGACAAGCTTTTTGTAGAGAAAAAAACCAAGCCCGGCCCTATAGGTCAGATCCCTATTTATATAGAAGTGATCCTTTATATAGAAACCAATTTTAAAGGTATATATAACAAAATTTTGTGTTGTACTCTCGAAATCTTCAGAATAAACTCTGAAATATTGTAGGAAGCAAATGTCAAAAGCGGTTTGTGCATATGTGTATAAATGATAGAGGCTGTATTCGAATGATTAAAATTCTGTATCAGACAAGGGCGGTCTGTGAGAAAATGGATTATCTGTAAATATCTGAACAGAAACTTTGAGTTGCTAAAGTCATGGAAAGAGAGAGGCGCTTTACAGTTGCTGATCTTGTAAATGCACAGTTATGCGGTAAAATAAAAAAGAAATAAAACATGGACAAACAAAATTAAATTATACGATTGTTAGCAATATAAAATAAAATTGATGGAGAAACGTTTTTAATAAGTGGCTATTGGACCAAACTGAGTGAAATGTAAAGGGATATTTTTTTTTTTTTTTTGAAAACACCATGACGCAATGTTTTTTGACGTTATAATGTAGCTCCAGGAATACCAAACATGCTGATTTTAAAAATTAAGTAAATTGATTTCAGTTAAATCGAATGGAATGAAACTTCAAATAAATATTTTATATGAGAAAATGTGTTCTTTTTTTAATATTTCTTGGAAGTAATATAACAAACTTTCCAACAACCCTCGTATTTGCGTAGCGTCGCTAGGTTGACGTCATAACGTCATAGTGTTATTTTCCAAAGAAACTATCTATATTCAGATAGCGTTGTAGGAAAATTGAGTTGAGATAATTACAAAAATTAAGCTGAATTAAAAAGATGACATCTTAGGCATGTTTCAAAAATATCTTCATCAGATTTGGGGACAGGGCCGATTTTGGTCCGTAACGTACTTTCTTCTTTGGAATTTCATGGTCCCTGTCCCTCTGAGGTATAAGGGGTGGGACTAAAACCATCAATATTAGTGCTATCTTTAAAAATATTCTTCTTTACTCCTGAACATCAAGCAGTCAAACTGTTGACATGATTGCAATAAGCATTGATTGTTCTACCAAAATTATGAATTTTATGGCCCCAGGGTCAGGGGTTCGGGAGTTCAAGTGGGTTTCTAATGATCCTATAGATTGTATCCTGTACAATTTAACAGATGGTCTAAGTGCTTGGTAACAATGAGCAGAAGTGCTTCTTCTAAAATTGTGAAATTTGTGGCTTCAGGGTCAGGGGTTCTGGTGCAAGAGGGGAGATCTATTGATTATATAGTAGAAATGCATTAATTCTTTTAAAATCATTCTCTGCGCCTTTGTATTTAGCAGATAAATTAAGTGCAAAGTTATGGTGGGCAAGGATGTTTCTTTCAAAATTTTGAAATTTGATGCTCCAGGATCAGGGGTTCTGGTATTAAGGATGGGGGGCTCTATTGTTTATATAGTGAGAGTGCATTATTTCTTTGACAATCTTCTTCTCTTCTCCTGGATATTAAGCAAACATAGTTCTTATGAATAAGGGTGTATCTTCCATATAAATTGTGAATTTCATGGCCCCTGGGTCAGGGGTTCTGGTTTTAGGACAGAGCTCTATGAATATAAAGTAAAATTGCATTAATTTTTTAAAAATTTTCTCTGCTCCTTGGTATAAAGCAGATAAAGTAAGTTAGTAATGATGAGCAAGGTACCTCTTTTAAATTGTGAATTTCACGGGCCCTGGGTCAACAGTTCTGGTTTCAAAGCAGATTGCTATAGATCAGATATTGAAAATACCATAATTCTAATACCTTCTTCTCTGCCCCTTGGTATTAAGTAGATAATTAATAGCATGGTTATGATGAGCAAGGATGCTTTTTCCAGAATTGTGAAATTCATAGCCCCTGAATGAAGGGTTTGGGTGTTAGGGCGTGGCTCTGACTGAAATTTTGTGGAAATGCATTATTTCTTTGGAAATTTTCATCTCTGCTGCTGGGTGTTCCGCAAACATATGTAGTGTATGGTTATGATGAGCAAGGGTGCCTAGTCCAAAATTGTGAATTTCTCAGCCAGGGCCTCTGTTGCTAGGGTGGGGCTCTATTCATTTTATTCTACTGAAAGAAGTTATTTCCCTTTGCTATAATAATAAATCATTGTAAAAAATGGAATCGGAAGCTCAGTTGAATAAGAGAAATATACAAGATTTTTATCATATATAAAGCAAAAAAGTACACTTTCTTAGTTTTAATGGTCAGGTAATGTTCTAATTAATAGATGAATAGACAAAAATATGTAATCTTTGTATATTAACCCATTTTGCTCTGAAATCAACTGAGATCATCTTATCAGTATATCAAGAGAGTTGCTGCCTGTTCTTTTGTATTTCCTGCAGGGAAAATGTCTTGAAAAAAAAAAATAGCCCAAGGCAAATGGAAAATAGCCCCAAGAATCTTGAAAACGGTTTGACTTGCAGGAAATTCTTAGCCCAATTTGTTCTACTTAACAATCTTATGAAAATTATTTTTGTTTATGCCTAATAATTCCAAGGAAAAGTCCATATTTACCATATAAGGAAATAACATCAGATTTCGTCAAACAAATGTCCCTATTTCTCAGCATTCTCATTATATGCTTGGACTGACACTCAAGATGTACTGGCACATTGCACTGGGTGCATCCAAACTTGGTAACACCTTTTCTTTGTCCTGGAGTCCCAGACAGAGAACACTCGCAGCAAACTTTGTTTTTCTCATACAGTTTTTTTGATGCTGTGTTCTGTTGTTCTTCCCCAACAGTCAACTTTCGGAGCCTTGCGGAGTGACCTAGTATCTCCTATCAGGTCCAGAGCAGTCCCACAGCGGTACCCGGGACTGCTTTCTGGGACTGCTTTGGTGTCAGGTTGGGTTTGTTTGGTACTGTAGCATTATTTATAGATAACATTCATGGAGGTGACTTTCATGATCTTTAATTGCCTATCTTTAGAGAATTCGGGGGGGGGGGGGGGGGGAATGGTTTGAAATATTTAAAAAAAATAAATTTTAACAGGGACATCTTTATCAGATAGGGGACAGCCTTGAGAGCCAATTCTAATGCTTTATGTACTTTCATCTTTATTCAAATCATTGCCGAAGAGGGTAAGAAGGATTCACAAATAGTGAGTGAAAGTTTTGCAAAGGAATATATAAATAAAAAAGATCTATTACTTGAGAACAGCAAGGTTATGATTAGTCATATTTATTTAATAGGAAAGCATCATTAGTTATAGATAAATTTAAATTTGTTAAATCATTATCCGCAGTGTTAGGGTAGGGCCACAAAAGAGGATCAAAGTTTAAGTTTGGAGTATATGTATGAAGAAAAACTTTTAAAAAAAATCTTTTTATCAGTAACATCTGGGCCATGACAAGTCATTTTTAAATTGCATGTATCTTCAAGTAGTCCAGATATTGTGTCCTAAGCTTAAGGGTAAGTGTGGGGCCACAATAAGGGTCAAATATTTTGAAGAAAAAATCAAAATTAAAAATATTCTGGAGAGGTATTTAATTTTTTTTAAAGATTTTATTTTCTGTCTTTATTGTAGATGTTGAGACTATCAAATGCCTCCAAAAGGTCATCAACAGTTGGAGAGATTGTAAATCTTATGTCTGTAGATGCTCAAAGATTTATGGACCTTATGACTTATATTCACACCATCTGGTCAGGACCATTCCAGATAATTGTGGCATTATACTTTTTGTACATGGAGCTTGGTCCCAGTATATTTGCTGGATTTGGAGTAATGATTGTTCTAATTCCAATCAATGCATTAATTGCCAAAAAGACAAGAGACTTGCAGGTAAACTGTTATACCCCTGCTTCAAAGGAAAGGGGGATATACTGTTTTACCCTTGTGTGTCTGTCTGACTAGCTGTCCATGTGTCTGTATAGCAGAGTATCTGTCCGTAACAAATTTTCGTTGCAGTTTTCTCAGTGACTACTCATTGCAGATGCTTGAAATTTTAGCACACTCTTTGTCTAGACATCCCAAATGATGGGATTCATTTTTGTTTGAATCCGATTCACTTTTCCTGTTTATCCATGTGTCTGTCCATACCAAATTTCTGTCGCAGTTTTTTCATCAACTACTCAAGGCAGATGCTTGAAATTTTAGCACACTCTTTGTCTAGGCATGCCAAATGATGGGATTCATGTTTGTATGAATCTGATGTCAACTTCCTGTTTATCCGTGCATCTGTTCGTACCAAATTTCCGTTGCAGTTTTCTCAGCAACTGCTCAAGGCAGATGCTTGAAATTTTAGCACAGTCTTTGTTGAGGCATGCCATATATTGGGATTCAATTTAATACAAATCTTATGTCAACTTCCTGTTTATTGGTGCATCTATCTGTACCAAATTTCCGTCGCAGTTTTCTCAGCAACTACTCAATGCAGAAATTTTAGTACACTTTTTGTTTAGGCATGCCATATGGTGGGATTCATGAGAGCGTATATTCACATCAGAGTAGGGGTATTACTAGTGAGCATTGGCTCACAGACTTCTTGTTTTAGACTGTTTAAATGAGCACTCATAGTCAATCTAGTGAAATTGTAGGCCTAATGTAAAACTAATTGCAACGGAAGTGATTTTGTGAAAACTAAAAGATAAAATGTGCAAATATATGAAGTTAAAAATCTAAGAAAATATGATATCCTTTTCCTCATTGACTGAGTTTTGAAATACAGCTTACACAACACAGAATTACTATTTTTGCAATGTTTATTACATTTTTAGTATTTCTGCTTTCCATTTTGTATGTCATCATCTGTCAAAATGGTCTAATCATTTCATATTTCTCTATTTGTCTTTGTCTTCTTTGTAAACTTTCCACAATTACATCCCCTAAAGAACCTTTTGGCTAATTTTACTCTGGTAATTGGGATTACATTTTATTGCAAGGAATACAGCTTCAATCCACAAAAAATTAGAAGAAAAATACACATCTCCAAGAACTGATATTAAAACAACATTAGTTGTATCTGCTATAAATTGAAAAAAGATCTCAACATCAGATCTAGTGAAATAAAGACTAAAAAAATATTTTTGATGAAATAAAATTCAACCTTTTGTCCAGCCATGTGTTCCCAGCACCAAAAAACAAGTCTAATCGTCAAGACCCAGTATTCTAATAGCATGTACGTATAACATTAAAGTCAGAAATGTGTTTAATAATAAAGTAAATAAATCTGTGCAGTACACTGAAATCATCGGTATATCGAATTGTGGTTGATCTAAGCAGTGTTGTGCTGGAAGAATTATAAATATAATGCTTTAAGACGTCGAGAGAAAATGAGAGCATGATGTATCAAAAGATATTTAAATGAGATTGAAATTAAATCTTTGCAAATTAAAAATTATTTATGATTGTAACACGCATCACTATCAGGGGCGTACATGTAGCTAGGACTTGGAGAAAATATAGGCACAAATTATGGCGAGGGGTCTTGGGACTGCTTAAGGCCCCCAGTTGATACTGAGCAGTGCCCTGGTAGGGGTTCAGGTGGGCGAAGCCCCCCTCCCCAACGGAAAATGGATTTCACAATTTTGAGACCCCTGGGAGACAAATTCTGGAAATATAAAAGACAAAATTCAGGGTATCTTTAAAATAAAAGTTCACAAGTAGAAAAGCTAAAAAAGTGCATTATTAGCTCTTCTGAGCCAAAGGCTCAAAGAGCTAATGATATGGCCATTTGTGCGGTGTGCAGTGTGCATAAACTTTTTAGAATATGGGCCATAACTCAAGAACCCCTTGGCCAATTATTGTCAAATTTGTCACAAGGTATCCTTGGCCCAAGGGCTCCCATTTATACTAAAACTAGGGTTGTGACCCTTAAACAAGGGGAGATAATTAGGAAAATAGAAACAAAAGTACTGGTTGCTAAAAAATCTTCTTCTCAAGAACCACTGGGCAGATTATCACCAAACTTACACAAAAGGATGAGGATATGTTGTAGATTAAAAATTGTTCAAGGTATCACCCTGGGGCAAAGGGCGTGGTCTCAAGGTCACTTCAAAGTTGACCAAAAATTACATTTTATTAAAATGTTGATATTTTGCTTACTATAAGGACTAGGATCATCAAATCTTGTCAGTTGATGCATCTAAGGACCTCATATCATGTTGACTCAAAAGTAGGTCATGGTGACCTACTTTTTAAATTATGCGGCCATTCTTTTTCAAAATGATTTGGAGGCATATTTTGAACAATTTAAGGCTTATGATCATCAAACTTTGTCAGTTGATGTATCTTGGGTTCTCAAAGCATGTCAACTAGAAAGTAGGTCACCTTGACCTACTTTTTGAATTTTGTGGCTAATCTTTTTCAAAACAATTAAGGTCATTAATTCGAATACTGAGAGGTTTAGAATCATCAAATCTTGTAAGATGATGCATCTAGGGGCCATAAATAATATTTATTAAAAAGTAGGTCATCGTGACCTACTTTTTGAACTTGGCAGGCATTTGATTACAAGGCGTTTTAGAAGCATAATTTGGATATTTTAAGGCCTATGATCATAAAACGTAGTAAGTTGATGCATCTTGGGTCCAAAAATATCATCTGAAAAGTAGGTCACCATGACCTACTTTTCAATTTATATGACTATAATTAAATATTTCAGGTACTAATTGGCTTTGAATCATCAAACTTTGTCAGTTGATGCATCTTGGGTCCTTGGAGTAGGTCGACTGAAAAGTAGGTCACCTTGACCTACTTTTGAAAATTTATGGCTTTAACTAAATATTTCGGGTACTATTTGGCTTAGAATCATCAAACTTTGTCAGTGGATGCATCTTGGGTCCTCAGAGTAGGTCGACTGAAAAGTAGGTCACCATGACCTACTTTTCAATTTATATGACTATAATTAAATATTTCAGGTACTAATTGGCTTAGAATCATCAAACTTTGTTATTTGATGCATCTAAGGTCTTTGGAGTAAGTCATTGAAAAGTAGGTCACCATGACCTACTTTTGAAAATTGATGGCTTTATTTAAATATATCAGGTACTTATTGGCTTAGAATCATCAAACTTTGTCAGTTGATGCATCTTGGGTCCTCAAAGTATGTCATCTGAAAAGTAGGTCACTGTGACCTAGTTTTGAAATTTTATGGTTGTGATTTTAAAAATATTTTAGGTATTAATTGGCTTAGAATCATCAAACTTAGTTGATGCATCTTGGGTCCTCAGAGAATGACAAGTGATAAGTGGGTCACCATGACCTACTCTCAGGTACTAATTGGCTTAGAATCATCCTGGGTTCTCAGAGTGTTTTATCTAAAATGTAGGTCATGATGACCTACCTTTGGAATTTCAAGGCTTTATTTAAATATACAGGATACTTAGAGGCTTCAAATAGAAGTGATAGGTTGTACAGTTTATCAGAAGAGTGATTCAAGGCCCTTGGGCCTCTTGTATTTTTCTTGTATTTTTCTTACCAGAGGTCTTTAGTTAGGAGAGTTTTCATATTTTTTTCAGTGTAATCAAATTTAAAACATGAAGAATAATTTTATTTAAAAAATTGTTTAAAAATAATCAGAAACAAATCAATGTTATACTACAAATAACAAGAAAATTTAAGTTTGTTCAGGGGAAAAAAAGCTAATCTACCCACATAGATGAAGTGCAGTGTCAAGTAAATTTGGCTGGATGGCCATAGAAAAAGTTAATTACTGTTCAGTCAAAATTAATCAATTAATTAAGACAACTAATACCACACATAACTTATCTTGTTAGCATCAAATTTTATATCTATTTAATTATTTGCATGTAGAAATTTTAGACAGTTCGTAAGGAGTAATCCTAGTGAAGCAACCGATTAACAATTACAGGCCAGGTTATTAATCTGCACAGTTTGGTGGTAATTTATACATTAATAATCTCTATCAATGGTGAAAATGATATTTAGTTATTTATTTTGTTTGTTTTTTTTTTTGTTTTTTTTTTTAAAAAACATTTTTTTTGATTTTTAATTTTTTTTTTTCTGAAAAAAAATTAAGTATAGGCAATTAAGTGCCTAATGGCAGCTATGCTCCTGACTATGTAAGTTTTTTTTTAGGTCACCTGAGTCACTCAGGTGACCTATTGCTATCCGTTTTTGTCCGTCGTTGTGTGTCATGCGACATGCGTTAACATTTGAACATTTTTAGCTTCTTCTCTGAAACCGCTCAACCAATTTCAACCAAATTTGGCATAAAGCATCTATGGGTGAAGGGGAACATAAACTGTGAATTTCATGGTCCTTGCCCCTCCCCCCCCCCCCCCCCCCCCGGGGCCTGAGGGGTGGGGCTAAAACCACCAAAATTAATGCAATCTTTAAAATCTTCTTCTTTACTCCTGAACATCAAGCAGTCAAACTGTTGGCATGATTGTAAAAGGCATTGAGCCCTCTACCAAAATTGTGAAATTCATGGCCCCAGGGTCAGGGGTTCTGGTGCTAGGGTGGGGCTATATAGATCATATAGTGAAAGTGCATTATTATTTTGAAAATCTTCTTCTCTGCTCCTGGGTATCAAATAAAGTAACTAAGTACATAGTTATGAAGAGCAAGAGTGCCTCTTCCAAAATTGTGAATTTCATGGCCCCAGCATCAGGGGTTCTGGTGAAAAGGGGTGGGGGGCTCTATTGATTATATTGTGAAAATGCATTAATTCGTTGAAAATCTTCTTCTCTACTCCTGGGTATTATTGAAACGCATTAAATACATAGTTATGATAATCAAGGATGCCTCTTCCAAAATTGAGAAATTTGTGGCCCCTGGATCAGGGGTTCTGGTGTTAAGGCGGGGCTCTATTGATTATA